AGAGAGAGAGAGAAAGAGAGAGAGAGAGAGAGAGAGAGAGAGAGATAAAGAGACAGGGAGACAGAGAGATGTGGAGACAGAGAGAGACAGAGTCAGTCAGGTATTACCTTATAATTAATTTCGGGGCTCAGGTAGTCACTGTAGACAGAATCCGAGTCGGAGTCGAGTGTGATAGTGATGGACGGGTTCCCGTGGCCTGCTACGATCCCGGCGCCACTAGTTGGTCCCAGGGAGGACGTGTTGCTGGTGCCGTTCGCGCTGCCGTCGACTGGTGCCGCTGCTGCACCGGTGTTACCTGACACTCCGCCGTTGTGGGCACCGGCACCACCACCACCTCCACCACCACCACCACCGAGTTCCGTAGTCGTGGTGGTGTCCGGCCCGGCTAGTCCCCCTCCTCCTCCTCCTCCGCCACCACCACCTGTATCCACCGAGCTTTGACGCTCTCCCGCGGGGAAACCTCCCCCTCCACCACCACCGCTCCCCCGCACTCTTGTCCCGTGCACGTGAAGACGTTTGAGTTTGAGGCTGTGTACCCGGCGGGCTGGTCTACCACTGTTGCTGCCGCTGTTGTTGCTGTTGCCGTTGTTGTTGTTGCTGTTGTTGTTCCCTCCTCCACCACTACCACCACCGCCGGTGCCGTTCCCTCCTCCGCCGCCGGCCGCTGGGTTCGATCCGCCCATGCCAGCGACTGAGTTCCCGCCGTGCGGTGCGTTACGTGGCTGGGCATTGCCGATGGCCGCTGCCAGCGCCGCTCTACAAAATTTCACCGAGTCAGATCGCTGGAGACGCGGAGACGCCAGCCTACTGGAGAGGGCGCCTGGCCTGCTACTGTGTGCGAGAGGGTCAGGGGCTGCTATGTTATTGGGACCGCTGGCCAGCAGCTGCTGGTGTTCGTGTTGGTGTTGGTATTGCTGCTGTTGCTGCTGCACCCCTTCGCTCGACAGCGAGGTTAGGGCCTGGGACGGTGGTGGTGAGCAGGCGACCTCACCAAAAGGTGGGACGGATTGAACCCCTAGCGTAGTATGACGATTTGTTACGCCGTTTCCCGTGGAGAGAGGGCCTGGTGGCGCCGTGGTGCCAGACATTGGGCCCGATGAGATTAACTCGTAGCTAGGCGGTGCTAAGTCCATGGCTGATCGCTCAGAACCACTTTTATCTCGGCGACTGAGGGACTCTATTAAACTTTGCCGCTCTTCAGACTTCGCAGCTTCCCTTCTGCTTAATCTATCACTAGCTCTTTTATCACTTGGCCTGAATTTCTCAAGCTCTACGTCCCGATGTCTCAATAGAGGCGACGACATAGGCGGCGTGACCAGAAGGGAGGAATCGTCGTCATAGTCGTCGTCGCCATCGTCTTCGTCATCGGTTGTGCTGTCCTGGCGCCGACCTCCAGAAAAAGGGGCTTGGGGAGGGGGGTAGGAGGTAGACGAGGTGGCAGGGGAGGCGGGTACGGAGTGGTAGGGGGAGTGGGGCGGGGTACATGAGGCTACGGCGGAAGTGAAAGAATTAGCGGAAGGGGCTGGGGAGGCTGGGAAGGCGTGCTGGGAGGCTGGGTAGTTGGTGGGGGCCGTTCTCCGAGGCCGCAAGGACGGCGATCCTACTGCTGATACCGACATGCTCAAGGCAGGAGCTGCACCTCACGTGGGGATCTGTAGACCGAGAAGATATAGTCCATATTATACATTTAAGATAAACCCAGAAGATGTCTAAAAAGGAAATAAAGCAAAGAAGCAGCAGTGGTGTGCAATGCCGAGATAACATAGAACCTAAAATGACATTGTTAAAATACAGGACGAAGACGCTACATGTAAAAATGGCGTAGACATTTGCATGCTACTAGGCAAACATAGAATGAGTCAATGAGCAAGAAGCAAATGAATGATTTATTCTGAAGCTTTGGATATTCCTATGGGTTTTTTTCGTCATTAAGCTGTGTTTTTTTTAACAGACCGAACATGAGACATCAAGATGTTTGTGTGTTAATAATATATATCAATAAGTAGTTTGTTTCTGGACAAAACATAATTCAGACGTGGCGGAAGGATGAGGCTAATGGACTTCTTTAACATTTTGCAATAATGATCTTTTTCAGGCAAGTGTTCTACGAAGCAGCCCAGGTGAGGAATGTGTTGCGGCAATTTGGCTGAGAACCAACGATCTTTACTACACTATTTGTGTAAGCATCGGGTGGTTCACAGAGAACTGTTCCAGGAGTTGTGTGCTTTCTTTCAGAACTCGTAACACTGAACAGTGTAATAGATGTGCATGTAATTCAAAAGAGTGTAGAAACAAACGATGCATATTTAAACGAAACAAGCAAAAGTTAAATGCTTTAGAGTGAACGATTAGTCGGTTTATCTGGTAAAATATAATTGTACCATTATCATTCCGTTTCCGAAGCTGAAAGTCCGGTTCGGACACTGAATTTTTTCGCCCCCTCCTGCCCACCCAGTAGTAATGGGTACCTGACTACGAGTTGTGGAAGTAAAGGCGGCGTGGAAAGGAACTGGCCACCCTATCGCAATATGCCGAAGGCCCAGGAAGTTGTCACACTAACAAGGCAATACCCAATGTTCGGATCGGATGCAGGAACAACTTTACTTTTACCGTTATCGTTCAATGTTTAGATACTAAACCTTAATGATAAACAACTGTATCATCATTATCCATTGTTCATTAGACTCTATTGAGAACAAAACTTTTTTTGTTGTTGCAAAACTAACACACAAAAAAAGGATAACATTGTGTTTTAGGTTATTCGGGGTTCAAAACCGTATGGACGAACCCCAAAACACAATTAAAACCTAAAAACAGAGGTTAGGTAGAACGTAAAGATACCGACGAGGACATAAATCACAAAAAAGTGTGTGT